AAATCTGACTCTGTCAATTATAGAATTGCAGTGAATAATGACTCATTTTGGGGAAGCCACTTTCAGCTGCATCACTTTAAATGCTGAAGAAGGAACAGTAAAAAGGTGTGTATAGAATATGCAGAGATATAAGCATTTTTGATAATTTTCATAGATAAATGTCAAGGTAACATGTTGTAAATCCCTCAGTGCAATACTCACAACAGAATTTTTAAAGGGACATGGAACATCTTGATACTTGTACTGTAAATGTATTTTGCCCATGACACCTGGTGTAACACAGAAGGAAACCAGTTTGGCCACCACAACTATTTCAGAGGCATAAAACCATCAGGTTGTGGGGGGAAAAATCAGTATCAAATTTCAGGGAGAAGAAAAGAAAAGGTATCTACAGCTTTAAAGGAAAGGGAAATGAGATTATTCCTCTAGGATGAACCATTTTCAATTACAGCCTGACAAAAAGAGAAATAATTTAAACCCGAGGTAAATTAAGATGGCTAAGTACTAAAACTCCTTAAAAACTCACTTTTAAAGAGAAGCCTTCACAGATGGAACTTTAACTGCACAGCACAGCCGGGTGCTGTTACAACAGGCTTTTTTTATTATTATTATTATTAACTTTGATCAAAGCTTATTAACCAGCAGCACCAAGCCATCAGTGGATTGGACTACACAGGAGAGCTAATTAAATTTAAAGTGCCACAAAGTCCTGAGGGCATAACACATAATCCCCAAGGCAGGAGCTTCAGTGGAGGGGGTGGGAACATTTGCATGGTGAGGCAGTGGGAGATGGCAAGGTACTTGCTCTTATTTACTGTGAGCCCTGCAGAGATTTTAGTACAACCAATTCTGAGCCTGTCCTCATCATCAAACATGCAGGTAAGTGTGGGCACTGAATATCTGGGAAAATATGGAGTATTTCCACACACCTCAGCAAGAAACACAGATCATAAAATTTTATTTGATCCAACAGGGCAGATCATGACATCCCTCCTTACCCTAAGGAGAGATAACTTCTACCAATTATAACGTGAAATATGACTAAAGAATTCAGGGAGAAGAGAAAATAAAACAGGATGCAAGCTGACTGCAAATTGGTGCACAGCAGCCTTGTTCTGTCCAGAGGCAGACACATATAATAGCATTTATAATTGAAAATAACAACAATACATCATAAAGTAATTTCTTCCATTGCCTATGTCCCATCAGCTATGTTGTCCTACAATAGATTGCAATAATTAAATCTTTCCCTGCAGTTTTGTCATATACCTGGGAGGAGGAATCATATTCTCTTTTCTGGTCACTTTCCAGGCACTGTGAAGAGTAAACTGTTACCCTCCATCTGCCTTTCAAGATCCTGGAAAGGCAGCAGAGAAGAGGAACATCTATCCCATCCTTGCTCATGTTTTAAAAGTGTCCTGACATGTGGACCACTAAAACATTTTCCAGTTAATAAAAGAAGTTGATTTGCAGGACAAAGCCATTATTTCCAGCCATGACATCAAATTATGATTTATCAGTCTGATATTGTCATTTCAGGATCCCTAGGAGGAAGGGCTCAGTAAACAAAACCAGTACAATTCAGTGCAGAGGGGAAGAAAGAGGAATCTGTAACAGCTTGTCTGTAAGGTTGTCCTTAACCAGAATAAGTGTTTCTGTATCGTAAAATAACAGAAACATCTTGCATTAGTTGGTGGCATCATGCTGAGTCACCCACTCACTCCTGTGGGCTAAGAGAAACACAGGCTGGCAATTTCTGGGGTTTGTGGTTTGGTTTTTTCCCCTTAAAAGAAAAATTGTGTCCAGTTGGCACCAGCACACGAAGGGAACCACAGCCTTACCCCACTCCAATTCTGAGATTTTTCCAGCTCTGCTCCAGATGGGGGAACTTTGTTGAAGCACAAGCAAAGAAAACAATGACTACACCTGGATTTGGCAACTCTCAGAATCTCACCAACCCTGGAGCAAAACCTCAGCAAGCCAAAGCAAAACCAATCCTGTCCTGCTCCCAAGAAACATTCCTGACACTCTGTCCAGGAGGAGCAGCAGCAGGATTTCCTTCATCCCCTCCTTCCTCTCTCAAGCAGGAGCTCACAGGCACTTCAAGGACCTGACACATCATCTGTAGCTGCTGCTTCAGAATTTATTAAATTGCAGTGAGAGCTGGAGCTCTGTGCCTTTCTCAACCTCACACAGCCCTGAATAAGATTTCAAATAAATTCCCCTCGTGCTCATGGCATGGCAAAGCTCCTGTGTAGAATCACACACAGTGTTATTTATAAATGTATTATTATTTATAAACATTGTACAAATTCTAAGGGGTGTAATTCTCATCAGCTGTTTTTCTGAGAGCTTTAAAATACTAATTAAATTTTAATTTCTCCCTTTACAACATAAAGCACTAACTACATCAGTGTGTAGGCAAGACAAAAACAACCATGTTTCAGTTGGTCTTTGCTTTAAGCTATGAAGCAGAAATTGTTGTGAGAAAGCAAACCATAAATCAAACCTACAAACAGCCCTGGAAATAATAAAAGAAGAAATTTTAGGTAAACTTTTAGACTCCAGATTCTGCCCCTTTACAAAGATTGCAATTAACCATTCTTACTCATTTTTTTAATATTTTTCTTCATTGGGTATTGTTATACTATTTGCATCAGATCAACACCAGACTGATAACTAAATAAGTCATTCAATTTTCTTTTAATAAACATCAGCAGGTTTTTCTTTCATATCTACTGAAATACCCTGGCATTTGAATGCTCCAAAAATTCAGGGAGAAGAACAATTATTGGTGATGAAGAAAAACCTTCAGACAGAGTTTCAAACTCTGCAGTTCAACAAATCCTGATTTACTTTTTTTTCTGATTTTGGAAATGATGCTGATTTTGAAAATTATTTTGTCTGGATTTGATACCTCCTGAGTAACATCCCTATGAGCTGCCAGAACAGAATTATCTTGTGATGGAACCACCCCAAGTTTTCCCCTCCCAACACAAACCCAATCACCTGCTGAGCACTGCTGTTTTTCAATTAATAGTGAATTATTGAGACATGAACATATACAAATGCACTTCTACTGTGCATCTATGTGTGCATACACACACCTGCCTTCACTTTCCTTCAAAGAAGTTTTTTAATTATGACCTTATCTCTAGATTGTGGATTTCACCAATATATACTAAAACTACCTCAATGATCTAATTCTCATTGGCTCCTGCAATGACATTTCAAGTCCAAAAGGGAAAGAAATGCAATGATGGACTAGAATAAAGGAAAACTAAGATAAACAGGAAAAAAAAGCCCAAATATTATCTGTCTTATCTTTTATGCCTTACAGTCCTTGATGCTTCATGTAGCTTTGAGCTTCATTATCCACTCATTCCACTCACCCCGGAATCACTATTTTCTCCAGAAAGATAAGGTCTGCCTCTATTTGAGAGTGAAAATTCTAGGACAGACTTCAGATATTCAGCACCCAGCTGTACTTTCCCATTGTTCACTGAGAGAGGAAGCTGTGCACACAGGAAGAGCACCAACTGACCTCAGGGATATTCACTGCGAGGGCTCAAGTGCCATTGCCTTGAAAAACCTGAGTGTGTTACCCAGAGCATTAACTTTATGGTCTTCTTATCTGCAAATTTTGCATCTGAACTCTTCCTGTCAGTACCAAAACCCTGAGGAGTGCACCCCTCAAAGACAAAAGAAAGTACATTTTTTGTTTGCACCTAAAATAAAAACATAGCTGGTATATTTTCCAGTCCAGTCCCTCACGATTGCCTGAGCAGGGCAGTGGGTGTTGTTTTCATTATTAAATACAAACCTCTGTCTCAAAACTCTCACTGAGCTAGTCAGGCCCCACTGAATTTAGAAGAAAGCTTCACACCTTCCACTTTTCCTTGCCTTTTCACAAAAGAAATTTCTCAAATTTCTCATCATGTTACCTGAACTACCTGACAGCAAAGACTTCTGGAGAACACAGTGCAGTATTAATTTCTTTCTCTGATCACAATTTCCTCCACTTTTCTGAAGCTCTACCTACTTTCTATAAAGCCAGAAATTCCTCAGCAAACAGTCCCACATGAGTGACAAAGCTGTTTACCACGGGCACCAGGGTCCTGATCACTCCCAGTTCCCAGTGTGCATAGAAAATTGCTGTTTTACAGGAAGACACTCTTGTCTGGATTACCTTTACCTGTGGTGGAAATAAAAAGCTCCAGTGAGAGAACCCATAGCAACCTTTGCAGACCTGAAGGGAAGCTTATGTATCTATTTTTATACACATATATATGTATACCTATATATAAGCCATATTAGAGTTTTGAAATGCAGTTTTGAAACTTTGATAGCATTTGCCCTGGGTATTCCCACTAGTTTATCACAAACATGCCAAAATGCTGATTCACAGTTAAATATTTTGTACTGTATAATGGGCCATCACTTCATCCCACACACTTTTTACAAGGCTCTAGTCCTGGAAAAATTCATCAGATTAAGTTTCATGAGCATCTTCACAAGGCCAAAAAATCTTTGACAAATTAAAGTGGATTCTGCTATAAATACACTTTCATTCCATTTATGCACACAGCTCTTTTTATAGCTGTTAAACCTCTTCTCTTTCCCCTTTTTAAACACTATTGAAAGTGTCAGGAGCTACCTTTTACACTTTATCAATCACGGCACACACATCATGATTCCTAGAATTTAAAATGGAATTGTTGATGGTTCAGATACTGTTAGACTGTCATTAGTTCTGCAAAGTGTGTAATTTGTCACTTTGCAAGAAATGACAGTGCCTTCACTCCTGCAACATGCTTTTAAACCTCCCCTCTCTAATTTGAAAATGCCAGTATTGTACTCTGCTCCAGGAGAGGTATTTTTAAGGCTTGCTGGCTGGCTTGTCACAGAGCAATCTGTCAGGTAGTCTTTTGCCTTCCTTCAGGTTTATTCACACAAAGCCTGTCTGTGATATAACACGAAGACAATGCTTTCTGTCTTACCTGATGGCAACGAGGCCCGTGCTGGATTTTCACTTTCCTCATCAGTGCTGGCATCATAGTCGTTTTCTCTCTTTACAACCATCTGAGTAGCAGCGATACTATCCCTAAAAACATCAAAAGAAAGGGAAAGGAATTAAGGTATTTTTGTTTCTCAAAGGAATTAAATCATTCAGGGAGAATATGTATGAAATCACCACCTATGGAAAAGGCAGGGACATGATCTGATTGGAAAATCAATTGCAGCCCAGCAGAAAGCAGGACAGATCCATCAAACACTCACTTCTTGGCTACAGCACCCACAGCAATATGCTGCTGCCTGCAGGGATGCCAGAAAGAATCCTCCTCTTCCATGACTTCCAGGACTGGTTTGGATAACCCAGCACTCAGCCAGGAAGAACTGTCACTCACTGTCAGGGCCAAGGAAATGGAAACTGAACTAAGCTAAACTCAAATGTGCACCACACCAAGAAACCCAGGGAAATTAAATACCTTGCACACTTGGCATCCGCTGCAGATTCTTTAGCTTCACTCAACAACTTCTGCAAGTTTCTTATCTTTGCCTTCTTTTCATTCAGCACCAAAACAAACCTGCTGTAAAGGTCTGCCTCCAGCTCCTCTTTAGCTTCCACGCATTTTTCCAGCCTGCAGCACAAAATTAACTGTTACACCAATCATTCTGTTCCCTAGAAGACATTTCTGTCCTGAGGCCAGCCAGGAATCCCCACTCCAATCCACGCACGACTGGTCCAGCACCTTGTCTCTGAAACAGGCCAGAATAAGCCTTTTTTTGTTGTTTTTCCACAGAAAAGTGCAATGAACTCTGCTTCCAAAAGGGAAAAGTTCCAGATGTGAACCCTTCTCTTCATGCTTTTTTTTTGGGGGTGGTTTTTTTGTTTTGTTTTGTTTTGTTTTTTTGGTTTTTCTTTTTTTTGTTTTGTTTTTTTTTTGTTTGTTTGTTTTTGTTTTGTTTTCTTTTTTTTTAGTTTTTGTTTTGGTTTTGTTTGTTTGTTTCTGTTTTGTTTTTTGGGGTTTTTTTGGTAGGTCCTTGCACACCTCCACCCAAGACAACTAAAATTTAAACAATTCTAATCCTGGAAAGGCAGCAGAGAAGAGGAACATCTATCCCATCCTTGCTCATGTTTTAAAAGTGTCCTGACATGTGGACCACTAAAACATTTTCCAGTTAATAAAAGAAGTTGATTTGCAGGACAAAGCCATTATTTCCAGCCATGACATCAAATTATGATTTATCAGTCTGATATTGTCATTTCAGGATCCCTAGGAGGAAGGGCTCAGTAAACAAAACCAGTACAATTCAGTGCAGAGGGGAAGAAAGAGGAATCTGTAACAGCTTGTCTGTAAGGTTGTCCTTAACCAGAATAAGTGTTTCTGTATCGTAAAATAACAGAAACATCTTGCATTAGTTGGTGGCATCATGCTGAGTCACCCACTCACTCCTGTGGGCTAAGAGAAACACAGGCTGGCAATTTCTGGGGTTTGTGGTTTGGTTTTTTCCCCTTAAAAGAAAAATTGTGTCCAGTTGGCACCAGCACACGAAGGGAACCACAGCCTTACCCCACTCCAATTCTGAGATTTTTCCAGCTCTGCTCCAGATGGGGGAACTTTGTTGAAGCACAAGCAAAGAAAACAATGACTACACCTGGATTTGGCAACTCTCAGAATCTCACCAACCCTGGAGCAAAACCTCAGCAAGCCAAAGCAAAACCAATCCTGTCCTGCTCCCAAGAAACATTCCTGACACTCTGTCCAGGAGGAGCAGCAGCAGGATTTCCTTCATCCCCTCCTTCCTCTCTCAAGCAGGAGCTCACAGGCACTTCAAGGACCTGACACATCATCTGTAGCTGCTGCTTCAGAATTTATTAAATTGCAGTGAGAGCTGGAGCTCTGTGCCTTTCTCAACCTCACACAGCCCTGAATAAGATTTCAAATAAATTCCCCTCGTGCTCATGGCATGGCAAAGCTCCTGTGTAGAATCACACACAGTGTTATTTATAAATGTATTATTATTTATAAACATTGTACAAATTCTAAGGGGTGTAATTCTCATCAGCTGTTTTTCTGAGAGCTTTAAAATACTAATTAAATTTTAATTTCTCCCTTTACAACATAAAGCACTAACTACATCAGTGTGTAGGCAAGACAAAAACAACCATGTTTCAGTTGGTCTTTGCTTTAAGCTATGAAGCAGAAATTGTTGTGAGAAAGCAAACCATAAATCAAACCTACAAACAGCCCTGGAAATAATAAAAGAAGAAATTTTAGGTAAACTTTTAGACTCCAGATTCTGCCCCTTTACAAAGATTGCAATTAACCATTCTTACTCATTTTTTTAATATTTTTCTTCATTGGGTATTGTTATACTATTTGCATCAGATCAACACCAGACTGATAACTAAATAAGTCATTCAATTTTCTTTTAATAAACATCAGCAGGTTTTTCTTTCATATCTACTGAAATACCCTGGCATTTGAATGCTCCAAAAATTCAGGGAGAAGAACAATTATTGGTGATGAAGAAAAACCTTCAGACAGAGTTTCAAACTCTGCAGTTCAACAAATCCTGATTTACTTTTTTTTCTGATTTTGGAAATGATGCTGATTTTGAAAATTATTTTGTCTGGATTTGATACCTCCTGAGTAACATCCCTATGAGCTGCCAGAACAGAATTATCTTGTGATGGAACCACCCCAAGTTTTCCCCTCCCAACACAAACCCAATCACCTGCTGAGCACTGCTGTTTTTCAATTAATAGTGAATTATTGAGACATGAACATATACAAATGCACTTCTACTGTGCATCTATGTGTGCATACACACACCTGCCTTCACTTTCCTTCAAAGAAGTTTTTTAATTATGACCTTATCTCTAGATTGTGGATTTCACCAATATATACTAAAACTACCTCAATGATCTAATTCTCATTGGCTCCTGCAATGACATTTCAAGTCCAAAAGGGAAAGAAATGCAATGATGGACTAGAATAAAGGAAAACTAAGATAAACAGGAAAAAAAAGCCCAAATATTATCTGTCTTATCTTTTATGCCTTACAGTCCTTGATGCTTCATGTAGCTTTGAGCTTCATTATCCACTCATTCCACTCACCCCGGAATCACTATTTTCTCCAGAAAGATAAGGTCTGCCTCTATTTGAGAGTGAAAATTCTAGGACAGACTTCAGATATTCAGCACCCAGCTGTACTTTCCCATTGTTCACTGAGAGAGGAAGCTGTGCACACAGGAAGAGCACCAACTGACCTCAGGGATATTCACTGCGAGGGCTCAAGTGCCATTGCCTTGAAAAACCTGAGTGTGTTACCCAGAGCATTAACTTTATGGTCTTCTTATCTGCAAATTTTGCATCTGAACTCTTCCTGTCAGTACCAAAACCCTGAGGAGTGCACCCCTCAAAGACAAAAGAAAGTACATTTTTTGTTTGCACCTAAAATAAAAACATAGCTGGTATATTTTCCAGTCCAGTCCCTCACGATTGCCTGAGCAGGGCAGTGGGTGTTGTTTTCATTATTAAATACAAACCTCTGTCTCAAAACTCTCACTGAGCTAGTCAGGCCCCACTGAATTTAGAAGAAAGCTTCACACCTTCCACTTTTCCTTGCCTTTTCACAAAAGAAATTTCTCAAATTTCTCATCATGTTACCTGAACTACCTGACAGCAAAGACTTCTGGAGAACACAGTGCAGTATTAATTTCTTTCTCTGATCACAATTTCCTCCACTTTTCTGAAGCTCTACCTACTTTCTATAAAGCCAGAAATTCCTCAGCAAACAGTCCCACATGAGTGACAAAGCTGTTTACCACGGGCACCAGGGTCCTGATCACTCCCAGTTCCCAGTGTGCATAGAAAATTGCTGTTTTACAGGAAGACACTCTTGTCTGGATTACCTTTACCTGTGGTGGAAATAAAAAGCTCCAGTGAGAGAACCCATAGCAACCTTTGCAGACCTGAAGGGAAGCTTATGTATCTATTTTTATACACATATATATGTATACCTATATATAAGCCATATTAGAGTTTTGAAATGCAGTTTTGAAACTTTGATAGCATTTGCCCTGGGTATTCCCACTAGTTTATCACAAACATGCCAAAATGCTGATTCACAGTTAAATATTTTGTACTGTATAATGGGCCATCACTTCATCCCACACACTTTTTACAAGGCTCTAGTCCTGGAAAAATTCATCAGATTAAGTTTCATGAGCATCTTCACAAGGCCAAAAAATCTTTGACAAATTAAAGTGGATTCTGCTATAAATACACTTTCATTCCATTTATGCACACAGCTCTTTTTATAGCTGTTAAACCTCTTCTCTTTCCCCTTTTTAAACACTATTGAAAGTGTCAGGAGCTACCTTTTACACTTTATCAATCACGGCACACACATCATGATTCCTAGAATTTAAAATGGAATTGTTGATGGTTCAGATACTGTTAGACTGTCATTAGTTCTGCAAAGTGTGTAATTTGTCACTTTGCAAGAAATGACAGTGCCTTCACTCCTGCAACATGCTTTTAAACCTCCCCTCTCTAATTTGAAAATGCCAGTATTGTACTCTGCTCCAGGAGAGGTATTTTTAAGGCTTGCTGGCTGGCTTGTCACAGAGCAATCTGTCAGGTAGTCTTTTGCCTTCCTTCAGGTTTATTCACACAAAGCCTGTCTGTGATATAACACGAAGACAATGCTTTCTGTCTTACCTGATGGCAACGAGGCCCGTGCTGGATTTTCACTTTCCTCATCAGTGCTGGCATCATAGTCGTTTTCTCTCTTTACAACCATCTGAGTAGCAGCGATACTATCCCTAAAAACATCAAAAGAAAGGGAAAGGAATTAAGGTATTTTTGTTTCTCAAAGGAATTAAATCATTCAGGGAGAATATGTATGAAATCACCACCTATGGAAAAGGCAGGGACATGATCTGATTGGAAAATCAATTGCAGCCCAGCAGAAAGCAGGACAGATCCATCAAACACTCACTTCTTGGCTACAGCACCCACAGCAATATGCTGCTGCCTGCAGGGATGCCAGAAAGAATCCTCCTCTTCCATGACTTCCAGGACTGGTTTGGATAACCCAGCACTCAGCCAGGAAGAACTGTCACTCACTGTCAGGGCCAAGGAAATGGAAACTGAACTAAGCTAAACTCAAATGTGCACCACACCAAGAAACCCAGGGAAATTAAATACCTTGCACACTTGGCATCCGCTGCAGATTCTTTAGCTTCACTCAACAACTTCTGCAAGTTTCTTATCTTTGCCTTCTTTTCATTCAGCACCAAAACAAACCTGCTGTAAAGGTCTGCCTCCAGCTCCTCTTTAGCTTCCACGCATTTTTCCAGCCTGCAGCACAAAATTAACTGTTACACCAATCATTCTGTTCCCTAGAAGACATTTCTGTCCTGAGGCCAGCCAGGAATCCCCACTCCAATCCACGCACGACTGGTCCAGCACCTTGTCTCTGAAACAGGCCAGAATAAGCCTTTTTTTGTTGTTTTTCCACAGAAAAGTGCAATGAACTCTGCTTCCAAAAGGGAAAAGTTCCAGATGTGAACCCTTCTCTTCATGCTTTTTTTTTGGGGGTGGTTTTTTTGTTTTGTTTTGTTTTGTTTTTTTGGTTTTTCTTTTTTTTGTTTTGTTTTTTTTTTGTTTGTTTGTTTTTGTTTTGTTTTCTTTTTTTTTAGTTTTTGTTTTGGTTTTGTTTGTTTGTTTCTGTTTTGTTTTTTGGGGTTTTTTTGGTAGGTCCTTGCACACCTCCACCCAAGACAACTAAAATTTAAACAATTCTAATGTTCTTTATTTTCAATGCTGAATCACAACAGTGGGCATACCTTAGGAGGATACACATCATGAGATTATAAACAGATATGATTCACCTTGTCAGGTTTCAAACGTGGAGCACACATTGGTGTGAAATATATTTGAAGAGGACAAGAAAATTCCAAAATATAAAAATGCTTAGCAGCTCTTAATATCTTCAAAGGAAAATATACTTCAGGGTTTTGAGAAAATTTAGTATTCATCCATGTGGGTAGATGAATGCCAATAAAAAGAAGCACAATGGGAATATTAAATTAAGAATATGGGTGTATGAAGTCTCATAAGCAAAACTGGAATACAAGCAAACCTGAGCACAACAAATCAAGTGATTTGTGGCAAATGTAATTCTGTATTTAATTCTTATATTTCATAACCTTTCAGACCTTGGCTTGAACCACAAACATTTTATTAGCTGTATACACAAGAAGCAAATAAACATCTTGATAATCTTACTGATCATGGTAAGTATAGTGAATAGTCATAAGTTAAAAACATATTTTTCACCAGCCTGTGCAAGGCTGTAAAAAAGTTTAGAAGGCTTATTATGCTATTAAACCCAGACATGTAACAGACTTTAAAAATATTAATTTATAAGGCAAGAGATTTCAACAGACTTCCTACATAAATACTAATTATTTTGTTCACAGATCAAAACCATATATGATATAGGAAGCAAGACAATAGCAAAAAAAAAAATTCTCACAATTTTTATGTTGTGGTGAAATGTGTGAAATCTCATGAAGCATTAAGCCTACTGTTCAATGCTTTAGGGATATGCCTGATAGTTGATAAATAATTCATCTAATTTAAATGCAAATAGCAGAACATCATTACCATACAGATCTGTTCAATAATTCCTAAATGAAAGATCATAGGTACTAATCAACTACCAGGAGACTTTCCACCTACAAAAGGGAAGTTAACTGTTTAGTGGGGAATAAATAGGCAATTCACAAAGAACCATAAACCCTAATGCAGGGCCCAGAAGAGCCTGGACATGCTTGATACTAATTATTTCTATATACATAAAGACGGGGGGGGGGAAAGGATTTTGTCTAAAATATGCTGATCTTTCTGTATCAAATCCTGCAGAATAATCCCCTCTCCCACACATAAACCAGGCAAAGTGGTTGCTCCCTGCCTTTACTTTGACAAGGCACTGGTCTGTGTTGGAGCAGTTGAGGCTGGTTCAAATATTGAGAAATGTGGCTGACTGGGCCAAAAAAGTGCCATTTAAGATAACTTCAGTGAAGCCCCTGAGTGCTGCAAAGACATCCCCTGGTGAAAACACACATAAATGGACACTTCCAGTGAAGTGAAGCTGATGCTGCCTGGACTGTGAGCAGCACAGAGGAGAAACCAACTGCAAGACTAGCCAATTTCTTTAGCCTCTGGAGAAAAAAATTAGCATCTTGAATATCAGAATTAGAATATTAACTTTTCCCTCTGGGCAGAACCAATTAGTAGTATGCCATCAGTTAATCTTATATGATTGTTTTCATTTACATGAACACCTTTTTTTTAATTTTTTCCCCATTATTCAAAGGTATCCACATCCAAATACATTCTCCAGACACAGAATGGCATTAATTTGGCAAAACACTGAGTATCACAGAATCATCACATTAATGCTGTACTTGCAACTAATGAGCCTTTAAAATACACTAATAAATGGCATATCTGATAGTTTAGCAGAGACTGGTAAAAGGCAGAGGTCTTGGGGACAGAGATGCATTAATTGGGCAGGTGGGGTTGGCTCTGTGGACCCTTCTGGACTCACTGAGGATTCACCAGCTGAGCCCAGAGCTGGCTGGGTTTCATTCCAATACCTCAGTGGCTGCAAACACAAACTTTAATTGCCATTCCTCACGCGGTGCTGCCCGAGTGTGCCCTGTGCCTCTCAAACACCACCTCCCCAGGCCAAATGGAGGAGCTGCTCATCTCACAGACAGCTCCCAGCACGATGAACCCAAATGGGGCTTAATTATTGGAGTGGTGCCTCCCAGTGTGTGCATCCTCAGGTCTCTCTGCAATGATTTCCATGTGCCAAAATGCACCCAAGGTGACAGATATCAAAAATCCTGCACAGCCCACTGAAACCAGCCACTGTTAGGGAGTATGACAAACAATCAACCGAGACATTACTTATAAAAAACAAGATTTCAAGTGCTGACCCAACACAGAGCAATCACTCATGCTCTACAGAGGTGAATGTGAGCTATGAAACTTAATGGTTTTTTCTTTAGTTATTAGTGGCAACCTTTACAATCCAACACTATGAAGGAAATAATTCAGCATCTCTGGTATTCATCCCTGTTCCCAGTGCTCTAAAATGATTCCTGGATCTCACAGCACTGCTCCCTTGCACTTCAGATTCACCCTTCCCCCAGCACTGGCAGTGGTATGGAATGTTTATGAGCTAATCCTGAAGACTCAGTTTCAAGCCCAAAGTACCTAGCTTGCATTTTTATAATCTGCTTGTGGTTTAAATACACTGTCGCTGCAGATGACCACAACATAAATTGGCAGCTATTTTGAATTTGGCTTGTCTACACAAATTTTGGACGCCTGAAAACAAAAGACATACCCCACGCCCAAACCAGAAATTGGATTTTTATTGTTCAAGGAATTATTTTGCTACAGGTTTTTATTACTTAAAATTTGCCACCTCCATTATCATGGAATCCCAGATTGGTTTGGGTTGGAGGGGCCTTAAAGCCCATCCAGTGCCACCCCTGCCACGGGCAGGGACAACTTCCATTGTCCCAGGCTGCTCCAACCCCAGTGTCCAACCTTGAACTAACTGGCCTTGAATTTTCTATAAGAAATAAAGAAAATAGTTATTCTGCTCTGATATTTTAACTCATCCATCCCTGAGGTGTTCACACACAGACACCCACACTCAACCCCAGGCAGCCACTTGCTCACCAAAATCTCCGTGATGGTCAACAGAATTCAAACAGGGAGATGGAAATGGGATTATTGAATGATTCCACCCAGTGCCCCACAGCTATGGGGCACAAAAGCAGCTCTCAGAAGCCTGCCTGCTATGTTTTAATTCTAAGGAAGTCCTGAGGAGAGAGGCTGTGAGCAGAGGGAGCTGCAGGGGCTGTGGGGCTGGCATGCCCTGGCTGCAATTCTGCACACCACGTGCTCCGTATTTGATGTTCCACCACTCAGCACCGTGAGTGGTGCAGGATGTAAATCCTGAATTCCTGCCTCCTGAACAAAGACAGGCACAGCTTTGTTCAGCTGGGGGCACCTCGAAGCGTTTGGAGCTGAAACAGCAAAGGGAGGCAGCAGGGTAGACCTGGGCTGTGGCAACTAGAATTTAAAAAGAAAACACCACACCACACCAAACCAAAAAGAAAAAAAAAAAACCCAAAAAATTAAAAAAAACAAAAAAAAAAAAAAAACCAAAAAAAAAAAAAAACCAAAAAAAAAAAAAAACCAAAAAAAAAAAAAAACCAAAAAAAAAAACAAAAAAAAAAAAAAACCCAAACAAAGCAAAACAAAAAACCATCCCCAAAATCCCCCAAAAAATCAAACCAAAAAGCCTAATACTTCTTGAATGGAAATGATTTCTGAATTATTTTTATTCAGCGTTTAACAGACATGGCCAAAGACTGGTGACTACAGAACACTCGGTGTATATTCTGAAAAACCATTTTTCATCTACCCAAAACTATAAACATGCTAAAGAAATCCACCAGCTTTCACTGAGAACAAAGTCACGTAACTCTGATTTTTTTTTTTTTCTTTTTCCTCCTTTTCTTTGGGGTTACTCTGTAGAAGTGCCACCCCACCATGGAAATTGATACAAGCACTAATGCCTCTTACACATCAGCGTGTAATGCAGTACAGAACACGGGTTATACAATACACTATTGTTCAATTACACTGTTAAGCAGTAAAACACTACTTAGGGAGGCCCTTTGCTTGTCAGGGAGACTGTCAGGAGAAACTGTTACTCATTTTAATGAGAGGGAAACAAAACTAACTCCTCCCAAAAGCTGGCTCTCTTTTTCAAGGTAAATTAACACAAATTAGCTGCATTCTTTCATCAATCTTCCTAGATTGTGTGTTTTTTCAGGTAAAGCTACAGAAAAGCAAGATAAATCTCTGACTGCTCTGTGCTAAGAGTTCTGTGCTTATTGAAACAAGCACAGATTATTTCCCTACAGAATGACAGACAACTCAGATTGTAAATGCAACAGCAATTACAAAAATCTCTTGAAAAATAATGGTACTTTTCCCTATAATACTGCACTCATTTTTCAATTCCGGCTTCTTCAACAAAGAAAACAGATGAAAGAAACAGCAATTTATTCCCCACTCAAAAATGTAAATAATTTACACTGCCAGTCCTAAGAATCATAGGAAATAATATTAATGAAAAGGCTTCCTAAAGAAAGTGAAACTAATTCCACAGATTTTGACCTGTTTGGGGTTTTTTTCTAACTTACAAGCTAAAACCCCCTTTAACTGCAAACTTTTAGTATCAGTTGCATCTTTATCAGACAGAGGAGATCTACAATCACATGGGCTGTGGTTAACTGAGCTCAAAATATGTCTCAAATTAATAAAAATTGCTGTCCACTGCTGCTGAGCTTCTCAGGTGTCACCTGGGAACTCACCTCCTCTCCACGTCGCTGCAGTTGCTGAAAAGCCTTTCATTTTCCCTCTGCAGATGCTCAGTTTTGGCCTGCAGCTTTCCCAGGCTGTCCAGGCAGTAACCAATGAGTTCTTTGATCACCTCTGCTGGGTTTGGGACTTCCTGCAGCTTCAGAGATCCAAGTCTGAACTGAGACACAAGGAAAGAATGAACTATTTCAACTGCACAAGAAACTTCACTGAGGCTTTGCCCCCGTAAACTTGAATACATCTTTAATAAGCATAGGAAATACCTTACAGTCCTCCAGTTTAAAGGGAGATAATTTTGTCACGTGGAGAATGGAGGAATATGTGGAATAATATACATGGTAATTATTTCCAGAGGGCCACAATGTTGAGAAGGATTCTGCAGCATCTCTGGGCTGGGCAGAGCCTGCGGGAGCTGGGCTGGGCAGGCTGGAGAAGGGAACGCCGAGGGGGGATCCATCCATCCATCCATCCATCCATCCATCCATCCATCATCCATCCATCCATCCATCATCCATCCATAATCCATCATCCATCCATCCATCATCCATCCATCCCTCCATCCTCCATCCCTCCCTCCATCCATCCATCCATCTATCCATCCATCATCCATCCATCCATCCATCATCCATCCATCCATCATCCATCATCCATCCATCCATCCATCCATCCAAACACCTGCCAGGGCTGCCAGAGCACGGGCCGGGCTCTGCTCAGGGCTGCCAGTGGCAGCAGGAGCAGCAGTGGCCATCACATGGAGGGCAGCGAGGTGCAGGCCAGCAGGAGGGAGAACTCGTGTCCATGGAGGGGCAGAGGCCTGGAGCAGCTGCCCAGGGAGGGCCTGGAGTGTCCCTGTGTGGAGCCGTGCCAGCCCCAGCTGGACACGTCCTGTGCCACTGCCCAGGGCACCCTGCCTGGCCTGGGGGATTGGACTCTCCAAACATCCCTTCCTGCCCCAAATATTCTGGGATTCTATGATTCTGTGATTTATGCAGCTAATATGAAACACCTAGCCAGCAAGTTGTCACCTCCAGGGTTTAGACAGCAACTTCCTAATCTTAAAAGGACTCCTCCAATTAAACAGGCAGCCTCATCAAGCCAGTGAGGCTAAAGGATCTGTAATGAACCACTGTGTTTCTTCAGCAATGGGGATGCTGTACAGGACATACAGGAGGTCTGAACACATTTGTTTTGCCTGGTCTGGGATAAACAACAGAAAACTGTTGTTTATGTCGTGTTAAAGGAGGAATAGCTCAGCCACACTACAAACCAGCTGAGCTATAACCATGCAAGCCCGGGTGAAGACACATTAATATCTAACACAATAGTTTGAGGGAGTGGAAGAAGGAGAAAGGGTCATCTCTCTCATCTTGTGATTGTCAAAAAGACTGACATAAATTTTGTGGCACTTCCCTATGGAGGGAAGTATTACCCATCTTTCCAACTTGAATACACAGCTATAACATCTTTAAAAAGGCATAGATGTAAGTGGTACACACTAGGGAAAAGTTCACTCTGTGTTGTGGCACCTCACCTGTTAAAATCAGAAATGTGGTTTGATTTATTTTTCCCCCATTTTACTTGGGAGGGCATGTAAAATCACGTAGAGACATCTACTAAAAAAATGCCTATTGCTTGTTACCTTTTTCAAATGCAAGTTTCGCTAATGCCATGCAGAAGTTTTGGCTGAAAAAGGCTCGGTAAAAGCTATCAAAGACATTGTCTGAAACAAGGAACAGTCCTTCCACGTGGACCTTTTATCTGTGGAAGTCTCTGCCCCAACACATGATACCATCCTGACCTCCTTCAGCAAGGTCAGCCTATCAGAAAATGTGGAAAACCCGAAGGTTTCATTTCCAATTAGCCACCAAATTCACATGTGCTGTCTCTAAAGTGTTGTTGTCTTTAGCAGGCGAACATCTGATGGCTACAGATGAAAAGATGCTTTTAATTTATTTTTGGAAATTAGATTACGCTATCAGTAGCCCACAGATTGGCGTGCACCCCCTGAATATCACACTTGCTGCCTGACAGCAGTAACAAAGATGGACGTTTGTGTAAAGGAAACTGTTTTTCATCACTTGCAAGCCACCACCATGCTATTTGGATAAAGAATTCACAGAGATAGAGAGGCACAGTAGCACAGATAAATGGCATCACAACCTTTTACCGTGAAGGAAATAGCAAGGAGAGCACATCATTTTTGTCTTCTGCCTTAACATATTCAACTGAGACCAGGTGTAGGCAAATTTATTTAATCAGGACAAACAAATTACACTTTTCACTGCACAAAAACAATAAAAAATTCATAATCCTAAAACAGGTTGAAGTGAGTAGCAGTAGAATTATTCTGAAAGCCTGGTACCACTGCACAACCAAAATCACACAGACACACAGCAGACACTCCAAATGCAATTATAATTATTAAAAAAAACAAACAGCACTGCTACAGGGACAGAGAATATGGGTCCATCTTTGCAGGTATTGAAGTCAAACACTGACTTTAATTTGACTTAAACTGACTTTTAAACTGACTTTGCCTAACTTTTAAATCTTTAATTTAGCCTTTAATTCAGGCTGTATGTGAAGCAGCTGAATCTTACCTACTTTCTCACAATAAAATTCACTGTCCTGCTTCTGTGTCTTAGACACTGAGAACTGTGGACCATTTCTAGGAAGGCCCACAAAGTTGAGCAGAGCAAGCCCATCACCAGGAGGCCTAAATTTATCATAAAGGTGCTGGCAAATCAGCTAAAAAAGGAAAAAAATAGCAAGGTTTTCTGCAAAACAAGCATTCTTCTTTATCCCCCCTTCTCCCACAGCCATCTAATCTTAATTTAGAATAGCTGTGGGGAGCACATTATCCAGCTACCTCCAGGAAAACACAGAATGTTTGGATACAGCCCTAATTAAAACAAAACTAATGTGACAGCCTGGAATAGTGGGAGGTGTCCCTTTGGAAAGGGACTTGGAAAGGAGTGGAATGAGATGGGCTTTAAGGTGCCTTCCATCCCAAAGCACCCAGCAATTCCATGATCCTGGATTGTGTGGTTGTTCTCTGCCCACCTCACACAGCACAAATGTACACAAAGTGCACCAAAATCCCCTTCCCCGAGGCTGTTCCTTCGGCACGGAATTGTTTTACAACACCTATTTAACACAGAGACGTCAGCACTAACAATAGCAACGCTGCTATCTCGGCAAATTACAGCTGAGTGGTGTCTGCCCCACCAGGAGCCCTGTGCTGAGAGGCTGATAAGCCAAAAAGGCCCACTGAATTCCCAAATCAGGACTAAAACAACCTAAAGTAAAAAGAAATATTGGGGCAGTTCTGCTCTGGAGTCCTGCTGGCATCCCGAACTGGAAAGCAGACTGGTAGAGGAGAAGATGACAAAACAACACAATTTTACATCCAAGGATTCTGAATCTGGGACAGGCGTGTAAATTGCAGACATAATTCTATTAAAATTAAGGGGAAAAAGTGTATCGTTGAAAAGGAGATGTTCGTTTTCCCCGCACACTGCTAAGATTTTCCTTGCAACTACAGCAAGGAACAGCTCAGTTATTTGTCCTTCATCGCCAAAGCCACAGTAGGGAAACTGCAAACAGTTCCAGGGAGATGCAGTGGAAGTGGTTAAAGATCAGGATACCACAACAAACAGTTAACCGGCTGGGATATCAAGATAAACAGCTCTTGCTTACTGCAGGAGTGAAAGAAAACATCATTAACACCTCACTAAGCTAATTTGACAAGCAACACGTCTTTGGTTTGGATCACATTTCCGAGGTGATTTTGTAAATTCGTAACGGTGAATTTTGGATTTTTTTTCCTTAGCTTTGTAAGTTCCTGCACTTTGCTGCTCCCCAGATGAATTTAAATTTCTCACCATCCTTACAGCTGCTGTAGCTCTCTGGCTCTGCCTCATCTGCAGATGTAACTAATGTGCTTTCTACTTCCCCTTCAGATCATTCAAGAAAACATTATGTAAAACACTGAAGCACTAAACACTTCATTTATACAGAGAGGGAGCAGACCTGGAAGAGGTCCCAGGGGACAACAGACTGACTGTGACTGATACACTGCTGCCCTTCAATATCTGTTTTACTGTTTGTTGGGATTTTATTTTTTCAAATTTTTATTTTTTTAAAGGTGCAGGAAGATGAACACAGAAGCATTTAAAAACTGTGTTCCCTTAATCAGAAATCAGTCATCACATATCCACCAGGTCTGTATTTTGAGCTTAAGAAATAAAAACAAGAATTACAAGCTTATGACAGAAATGCCATTTTCCCCTGAACTCTCACCCTGCCCACTGTTTGTCTTCTAGGGATGAAGAAAGAAGTCTTCTTAATCACAAGACACAAAATATTTCAGAAATAACTGAGAAGTTTCTCAGTATTTCTTCTAGATTCTTATGCTTGCAGGAAGATGTGCTTCACATAAGAAAATAACAGGTATTTAAAAAATGATACAACACATTTTCCACACAAGATTTCAAAACTGAAAGTCACATTATTGTAGAGGCAGTGAATTTTAATTTTGCATTAAGTAACATATATCTGCTATGTAATCTTTGCATTACTTCACTCCATTAAATATAAGAATTATCATACCTAAAGCAATAATTATCAGAGGTTATGCACTGAAAGGAGACATTCACACAACAAAGCCTCTCTTCTGAGTCAGAATCTGAAATTAAACACTAACAGTGAGTTTGTTTCAAATAACAACAGTTTTTCACTGTGTCTATATGAAAAAAGAAATCATGAAAACTCTCATTACATCTGCTTTGCTGGTTGTGATTTTTCCCTGTATCAGTAAAATATTCTAACACACCTTTCTAACAATGTTTTTCACCCACAATATATTTAAGGAATTCTATACTGCCACAAAATTAGATAGATTTTGTCCTTGTTGTCCTGGCAAGGTATAGCAGATATATAGATGTATAGATATATAGATATAGATGTATTTATAGATATATATGTTGTATTTGTGAGCCTCTCTCCTATTAATTCTTAACCCACAGGATTTCAATTTTTCCTTCTCTGTTTTGAAAACTAATTAACAAATAATTTTTGGAGAGAGCATCCTTCACAGATACTTAGGTCTGATTCTGAAATGAAAATATTCCCAGCGTGTGAACTGATTGACAGAGGTTT